CAGCTTGGGTTAAGAAAGCTGCTGAGAAGCAGGTAGGAGCCATGACAAACTCAGACATGGCATTCGTGCAGTGTGACAATCCCATAGTGCCAGCAGGAGAATATTTACCTACTTTTCGGTGTTCACCTATTTTCTAAAGCACACTTGAGTAGAAACAAAGGAGATAAATGTCAGAAAGCCTATGTACGGGCATGAGTGTACTCGTTCATATACCATTTTAGAAACAAAGATCATCTGGAATAGTATGAACTTCAGGAATAGCCATTTCCATAAAACAAAATCTCACTTAAAAGAAGAAATCTATTTGATATTGAATATTTCTACAAAGCCATGCAGGTTAGGGGAGGTGGGGGGAAATAAGTGCTTTAACTTGCCCTTTTAAAGTGTGTAGCCAGGAGCTGTGTAGTTGCGAGCTCACTCCCCCCGGGTATACAGCCACTGCATCCACCTTGTAAGATAAGTCTCAGTTTAAAATGATTAACATGGATAGTTTGCAGAACGTCCTGCACTGTGCTTCCCACGGGCACAAYGATCCTGCATACAGGTACTGTGATCCAAGTGTAGCCATGTGTATTTTAGGATATAGGRATATTCCCCTTTCCTGGGAGGGGCAGGACGCCGTGTGAGGGGTCTCAGAGCCAGGGCCGAGGCTGCCTGAGGGCAGCGGGTCTGAGCGCCTTGGAGAGCGGGGCTGGGAAGAGGCCCCCGCCGAGCCGCTGGGCGCCGACCCAGGGGTGCCAGCAGTGCTGGGCTGGGACGGCGGCGCCGTGGGTGCTCCAGCAGGGGCCCAGCACGGGGGGCAGCACGATCTCCACGGGCTTCAGCACCACCACCCTGCCCGGGGGGCGCGCGGGGCGCTCCACGGCGCGRAGCGGGCGCCCCACGGCGCTGGCCGAGGCGAGGACAGGGCCGCTCCGCGGCACAGCTGCCACTGGCGCCTCCGGCCGCCGCTGCTCCGCAGGGCCCGGCGCCCGCCGCGGCACCGGCCTCCCCGCGGCCTCGCGCCCCGCGGGCTCCTCGGCCCTCGCCCCGGGAGCTGCCGCGGTGCTCACGGGCTGCGGCGGTTTCGGCTTCCTTTTCTTTCTCTCCTCTTTCTTTGATTTCTCTACGTCTATTCCATCTAGCAACCCTTTTGCTGCAGCACGGGCCAAGATGTCTTGAACAGACAATTTTT